TGATCAAAATCTCTGGCATCACAATTTTTGCTAAATTAAGCATTGCATGAACTACTTCAAAGCCTACTTCAGAGCCTTTGAATTATTGATAGATCTCTGCATCCCCCCCCACCCCCGTACTGTATTTGCTGTAAGAACATTTGCCTTGTGGGTGATTACTTGTTGATCTTAGAAGCTGATGGCCTTAGGATGACTAGAGAATAGCCAGAAACCAGGACAGGCTTGGAACCTGAGACTGCTACAGAGTCTGCTCTTGCCTTTGGAGTGTAGCTGTGCTAAGGAGTAGGAAGAGGTTGGTTCAAACAGATCAGCCAATACATTGTTTAAAATATCGTGTGCAAAACAGATCTTGAGATCATGTATTTACTTTTTATAGGTTAATGATTTGTCCGAGACCAGTGGACTTAACTGGGGCTGGAAAGGCAGGGGGACACTGGCAAAGTGACCCTAAAAGCTGAGAATTTCCAACCTGACTCTCCTTTCACCCAAGAATCTTAGGGGTGCTGGCAGAATTCTGGGAAAGATTTGTGTGCAGTGCTTCCCTGTTCAACTTGAGGTGCTTTAGAAATGTTTTCTGAGCCATGGGGTCAAAGCTCTACCTCACCCCTCCTCCCCCACCATTTGAATGCTCTGGAATGGGACACTACTCCAATGTGGGCTTACGAAGAGGAAGGTAGCAACTCCTGGGGGTAGAGTAAGGTCAAGGTCTAAGAAGGCAGGCAGGGAGTAGGTTACTACAGATTGTGGCTAGTGCTTGGATCTGCAGTGAGTATGGTATCTTTCACCTCCATACTGCTTCCAGTGCCCTCTAGATACTGCCTCAAAGAAAGGAAGCCATGTTGTAGAACATGTAGAGGAATACCCAGTCATGCAGCCTGTAGTCACAGCCTCCGTCTCACTCTCTTGGTATTTCAAGTGCCACTAAGTCCTTTAGACCTCCCTGTCCTAGGCAGGGACCATCCATGTTGCCTGACCAGCAATGCTGATGATACTGCAGGGAGTCTCTATGCCCATGGCCCCTGTGACCCCTCCTCTAACATGATGAATTTGTTGAAATTGTTGGTGGCCCTTGAAGCTCCAGACCACACCCTTTAGCTCACACTCTTTGATGACTTCCTGCAGGAGAAGGAAGATTTTTCTCTTCAGAATGTTCACTTGATTGGCTACAGCCTTGGCGCACATGTGGCTGGATATGCTGGCAACTTTGTGAAAGGAACAGTGGGCAGAATCACAGGTAAGAACTGACTGTGTCTACATTCTCCAGCTGGGCATTCTGAACCAGAGAGCTCCCAGATGAGACAGCGTAAGTCCTCAAGGGACTGGCTTTGGAAGAAACCTGACAAACTCTTTTTTTCAAACTGAACATGTATAAGATCTTAATATACGGCAGGTGGATGGGGAAAGGATATTCTTATTGAAGCTACATAGGTGTTTATGAGTTCTTGCCTGTACTCTTCAGACCTTCTTCCCTAGAGGAATCCCAAGCTGGAGAAATCTCAAGGTTTCAGAGCAATGGAGAACTTGGAAACTTCTGGTCTAGTCTAGCAGGCAGGGAAACAGGCAGAAGTGAGGCAACTTGCTCATGAGCAAATGGCTAAGAACTAAAGAGCAAAAACTGAAATGGAACCTTGGTTTCTAAGCTTCTGAGTGTTCACTTTTGGTCTTCACAATGAGATTCCGGATATTAGAGAAAGGAATGAATGCTAGAGTCTGGTTTGAGTTCTACTACTTGTTTTCTATTTCACCCACCAATAGCTTCTTTCCAATGTTAAGGTCACATATTTATTAATGATCATCACCTGTTTAGAATGAGTGGCTGAACTTTGTAATTAAAAGGACTTTTCTGATATTGGTATCCAGGTGCCCAATTGAAAGTGGAGTTTTTCCATCTTGAAACTTATACCTCAGTGAACATTTTTTATTAAAAATTAATTTTCTTGATTTATTTATTTTTATTTGTGTCTTTTGCCTGTATGCATATAAGTGCACCCATGTTGTGCAATGCTCAGAGAGGCCAGAAGAGGGTGTTGGATCCCCTGGACCTGGAGTTATGGTTGGTTGTTAGCTAATATGTGGGTGCTGGGAACTGAACCTGGGTCTTCTGCAAGAACAGCCAGTGCTCTTAACCACTGAGCCATCTCTCCAGCTGTTTAACGAACTTTTTTTAAAAAAATCTTTTTGAGACAGGGTCTCCCTGTAGCCCCAGCTGTCCTGGAACTCACTATGTAGACCAGGCTGGCCTTGAACTCACCTGCCTCTGCCTCCCGAGTGCTGGGATTAAAGGCCAGTGCCACCATGCCCACCTTCTTAGTGAACTTTTAATATTTAATTTGGACTAAACTATATAATGATTCTAAAAAAAGTCAGATTCTTTTATCTATTTTAGGGACCTTTAGATATGCAAGAAAGTTTCTTCTACATTAAAATTAATAGTAAATTTATTGCCTCAACCTTTTCCTTTCGTCCAACATTCTTTTATGTGTATTCATCCTCAGCTTCCTCCCCATCCCTGAGAATACTAAGGATGGTGTCTTAGCTTGTTTTCTGTTACTATAATTAAACAGCATAGACTAGGTAATTTATAGTGGATAGAAGTTTATTTAGCTTCCTGGCATCTTTTTACTGCATGATAACATGGTGGAGGGAAGTGTCTAACATGGTCAGACAAAACAAGCAAGCTAGTTTAGGTCTCTCTCTTATAAAACCACTGATATTGTCATGGGGACCCCACCCTGATGACTTCACCTAATGTTAATCATCTCTCAAAGGCCTCTCTTCCAAATACCATCCCTATTTGAATTTAGGGATTATGTCCTCAGCCTATGAATTTGGGGAGGACACCTGCAAATCACAGCTTGATAATATCACCTAGAAGGAGAGATTTGATCTATTTCTTTCCTTGTAATGTTTTTATTTAAAACAGGACTCCGGTAGGAAGGAATCCTTTAGATAACTGAATTAATAAAGGTAGAGTTTCAGATTTTGGGAACAAGGTAGCAGGGTAGTTAAAAAAAAAACAACAACAGCAAAACCAACAACACCAATCTTTGTATCATTATTGGCCCTCTTTAGTTGCTGTCTTTGGGTTCAAATCTAATAGGTGCCTACACATAGACATATGTATACAAACTCCATGAGAGCCAGTAATTCCAGTCTTTATAGCTTGAGAGCTTTCTTTCTAGCATAGTGGGGCTTGAACTGTCTGAAGTAGGCTATGCTTGCATGACCATCCTCCAGTGTTCCAGAGCCAGGCCAGCTGGTTGCAAACTGCAGCACTCACATGGGCTCTACCAGGGTCAAGGCCCAATGTGTCCTTGTCAACAAGGACAAACCAAAGGTCTTGCCTTTCCCTGTTTCTAATGTAAAATGAGACAAGGCTAGTCAGAGAGCTTTCCAGTTCTTTTTTCTTGTTCTGGTGGTGGCTGTTGAGAAGGCCTCTTGTCTGTGGCCAGCTGTGGGGCTGGCAGAAGGCTAATTAGTGCACATGCCTTGACCCTCATGTCCTGAGAGTAGCAGCTTCCCTCTGACCTCTCTGTGGAGCAGGGGCCTGGCCTGGGTTTAGTTGCTTGCCCCATACTGATGTGGATGTTTAACGGGGAGGCTGGCTCCTCTACTTTCTGTTGGTAGGCTTCTCATGTGGACCTGACTGGTAGGATGGAGACTGCAGCTTGTGTGGGAGCCTCAGGGTAGTGATATCACAGTGCAGAAGCCACCAAGGGTCCTTAGCCTGGAGTCTACAAGAAAAGATCTGAGCCCAAGTCTTGCTTGAATGGAGGATGTGGAGTGGGGTTTGCTGGAGTTTTACCCCTCTTTGCTCTTGAGGGCAGTCTGTGTTGTACTAGGGAAGAAGTCAAATATTTCTAACTGAACTTGTGACTAGGTAGTTATGAACAAGTAAGATAGAGGATTAATTCCTTCAAGAACTACAAATTAGGTAGGCTGTGGGCTAGATGCTATCTAATGTCAAGCCTCAAGCATACTCACTTGATAGATGAGTGAAAATACTTCATACTTTCTCTAAACTGCCTGGTAACCTTGTAACTTTCATAAATGGGAGGAAGGATGACTGGATGATTAAACAAGCCCAATCTCGCACTTTAAGTAGTAGATCTGGGATTCAGTCCGGGTTACTAGAGTATAGGGCCCTGCCTGTAGCCACTATCTGGAAGTATAGATTAAAAAGTACAGTAAAAAGTAGATTGTATCACGTGGACCAGGGATGTGTGCCACATAGTCAGGGCAGGGAACTGGCTGAGTCTGGGTAGGTGAAGGCCCCACACTGGCCTATGAGGCCCCTCAGCCGCTAGCATTCCTCCAATACAGCCTCGTTTCCATGGAGCTGCCAGTCTGGTGGGGATCTTTGTTCACACCAAGCAGAGAGCCCCTCTCTTGTCTTAGTTGCAAAACAGAATGTTCCTCCTCGTCAATTCTTTTTCCCTTCAGTGCACATGGTGAGAAGCAGAGAGAGAGAGAGAGAGAGAGAGAGAGAGAGAGAGAGAGAGAGAGTCATTACCTTGTTTTTTTTTTTTGTTTTTTGGTTTTTTTTTTTTTTTTTTTTGAGACAGGGTCTCCTTGTAGCCCTAGCTAGCCTAGAACTCACTCGCTATATAGACCAGACTGGTCTTAAAATCACAGAGATTTGCCTCCCTCTACCCCACCCCGAGTACTGGGAATAAAAGCATGTATCACCCTGCCCAGTTTTTGTAGGTTATTTTGGAAGAGCATACTTTGGTGCCATCTTTCTTTTTAGGTCATAGGCTAAAGTTGAGCCCTTAAGCATCCTGGGTTCCCTTTCTGCCTTGGTCACCCATAAAATCATCCAAACTTCTGGAAACTCCCTAGTTTTAGCCTTCATTCATTCTCACATGAATAATGAGTCCTAGTTTGTTCACTCTGGAAAGCAGCTTCTGTTTATCCTAAAATTACCCTCTCACAAGTCCCAGTGAACTCTCTGATTCTTTGTGCTGGGTCTGGGGAATGTGGCTTTGTTATTCATTTCCTCCTTTGGGGACATGGTTCTTGACCACCTTACCTCCTGGCTTTGGTGCCTCTAGACTGGAGTCTCTCAGTCTGGGCACTGACATGTGGGGTCAGAGGAGCTTTGGTGTGTGTGTGTGTGTGTGTGTGTGTGTGTGTGTTATGTGGCATATTTAGGATAGTTAGCCATATCTCTGGCATGTCCCTAGTAGATGCTGTTAGTTTTTCTGCCCCCAGTTGTGATAAACAAAAATGTCTCCAAAGATCACCAAGTGTCCCTTGAGGGTAAGATCACTCCCAGTGGCCGATCCCTATTCTAGACCAAATAGGGCATTTTCTGTGCTTATGTCTTAACTTTCTCCAGTGTGTATCTGTTGGGCAAAGAGCCTTCTTGGTTGGGACAAATCCAGTTCCTATGATCATGGCTTGGTAATATTGAATATTGGCAAATTCTTAATCTCTTAATTTTTTATATAAACTGCATGAATTGTGGCTTGAGTTTCCATTTCATAGATGATCCTGAAGCACTGGGAAGTTTTTCAACATCTAGTCCACAAATGACTCACTTAAGATCGCCCAAGGAATCAGTCTCCATTTCTGTCTTGTCTGCAAGTACATATTAGATTCTCTGGAGATCAAGGTCACTGAAATCCACATTTATGCTTTACAAGTTCCTTCCTTCCTCCCTTCCTTCCTTCCTTCCTTCCTTCCTTCCTTCCTTCCTTCCTTCCTTCCTTCCTTCCTTTCTTCCTTCCTTCCTTCCCTTTTAGATTTATGTGGTTCAGAATTAAAAGATTGTGTAAAATCTCTCACTGTCAAAGATATGATACGTGGCCAGTTTTCTTTCCCACCTGCTCCCCTGATGCATCTACACACAGAAAACTGTTTACTTATATGTCCTTTCAGAGATTTTTTTTTAGACTATATACTAGAATCCCAATTTATATATAACAAGCTCCCCAGTACAATTTGAGCAATTTCAAGTGTGATAGCCAGTATCCTATGTAGAGCAGCTTTCTGACTCAACACAGAAATTTGGGAGGCAAAAAGTCTTTCTCATTGTGGGTGTGAAAGCAGAAGGTGTTGTGAAGGTCTGGCATTTGGGTTCTTGCTGTATCGGATACTGGAAGTTTGGAAGTGCTATTCTCTACCATTCCACATGTGGGCCAAGACCTGGGCCTGACTAAGGAAGGGGTAGAGTGAGTCAAAATACAAGTCAAGCAGTTTGGGGGAGACAGAGTTCTTCCAGAATTATGTAGGCAGCTTAGTTATGGTGTAAATTCTGCACAAACCAGGCATGTAGGCGCAGATGGCTGGGGTCAATGGCTTAGGCCCAGGAGCCAAGTTTGTTCTAGACCTGCCCTAATTCTCACTTCCCTGCAACGGACCAGCCCAGACCGGGGCAGTTCAGTCTGATGGGAACAGGGTCGTCGAGAGGGTGGACAAGGAGTCGGCAAGTGACAAACAGATGCAAAAGGAGCTTGATGAAAGTCTGAGTGTAATTTTTGCAGTTGCAAGGTTTGAGATATATACAGCAAAGATCACAAAAACCGCAGAACAGTCATGCTAAGATTTACAGTTCCAGAGATGAAAGTAAAACACAATTTTGCCAACATATTTCCCTGTCTTATCAACCGGACACTAGACAGTAAATTCCTGCTTTACTGTGGTTTTTTACTGCCAGCCTTTTTTACACACTCGGCTTTGTAGTCCCAAGTCAGGATGACCTTGGCTCATTAAGCACTTTCAACACCAGCTGTGCCTGATGTTACCTTTTTAACTATTTGATAATATTCCTTGCTTATTTGTAGTGGGCCATAGGGCTTCTAAGTTATTTTTAACTCTATAGGTCCCAAAAAGGCTATTCCATGTTAGGGATCCATGAAGCTATCCTTCTCTCTTATCCTACCAAATTTTCAAATACTTTCTATATTTGCCCTATAATGCTCTCTTATTGATTGTTTATCAAAAGACACCAAGGTGGTCCTGATCTTACCGATTTATCCATGAATTGTAATGAATAACAAGAAACCCTTCTTCTATCTATATTTATCTATCTATATTTTTCTTCTAGAAATCTATTATTCCCTGGACTTTCCAGCATTAACTCTGCTTAATTACTTCTCACTATGTCTAAAATATCTCTCATTAAAATATCTTTCGTTAATAATGGTGCATCTGAACTAGGATGATTAAGGGATTTCAATAAAGGCAGTGATAGCGGTGCCAAGGACACCAGGCGCTTTCTGGGCCCCCAGAAAGCCCAAGATACAGTGACAGTTAGAAAATTAATAGCAAGTAAGAGCGTGCCAGGTACACTGCATGTTACTTATCACAACCAATTCCAAGAGGCAACCTTCCTTGAAGTTCCAGCCTCAACCCACGGAGGATCTCACGTGGGCTTCATTGGAGATGGCGTGACACTTCCCCATGGTTCCGCAGAGCTGGTGGCAGAGTGAGCATTGTGGCTGGCATATTGGGCTAGCTGAGGCATCAGGACATGTGGAGGCTTAAGAAAAAAGTGTCAGTCCTGGAACAGCGGGACTTAATTCCTGGATGATGTCTAGGGTCAACTGCATATGGGTTCTTTATTTTCTTCCACACCTTCTGTGTCTGGATTTGTGCTGCTAGGCTCAGCGAGTATCTTCATTCTGCAGGCTTGGACTGAACTCAAGTCAAGACTCACTGACTTGGTGTTCCTGACAAAGTCCATCTCGGCTTCACTTGTTGCAGGTCTAGATCCTGCTGGACCCATGTTTGAAGGAGTGGACATCAACAGGAGGCTCTCCCCAGATGACGCAGACTTCGTGGATGTTCTGCATACCTACACACTTTCCTTTGGCTTGAGCATTGGGATTCAGATGCCTGTGGGGCACATTGACATCTACCCCAATGGTGGTGACTTCCAGCCAGGCTGTGGATTGAATGATGTCTTGGGATCAATTGCATATGGAAGTAAGTTTCTAATTTTCCGCTTTGAGTTTGACCTTCTAAATCAGCCCAAGTTGTTAGTGCTGTCAACATCATTCCCCTCATCACTGTCATCACTTCACACAGTGATCATCCTCTGTGCCTGTTAACAACCATCCATTTACTTAGCATGCTTCCAGGTCACAGTTGTTATTGATTAATTTCCTTTTTGAATGGGTATACATAGACGCTTATTTAAAAATCAAGCATTAGGGAAGGTGAGTGGGTAAAGGTGCTTGCCACCAAGCCTGACAGCCTGTGTTCTAGCCCCAGGACCTACATGGTATAAAGAGAGAACTAACTCCCAAAAGCTATCCTCTGTCTTCCACTAAATAAATAAGTGCAATAAAATATATCAAGCAATATAGAATTTTATAAAACAAAAGGTTAAATCTCCCCTTGCTGCCATGCCCACCTTTACTCTCTGAAGGCAGCCAGTGTAAACATTTGTGTGATCTTTGTAAATTTGTGTGTCTGTGTGTAACTAGATTGTTTTCCAAGTCCTATTGTTTTGTGCTCTCTCTGCTCAGTCGTCATATATTATGGACATTCTTAAAGGCCAGAGCAGGTAGACTTACTATATATTTTTACAGACTATGTAATATTCTGTTAGATGAATATACTATATCTCATTTTTCGGTAACATTTTAGAGAAACAAAACCAAGGACCCCTTTCTATTCTATTTTACTTTCTGAATGCCTCAGCCTATGCTTTGCCAACTTGGACTGAAGTCATTTTGTGAATGAACCTGGTGTGGTATCCAGTGGCTCTCTGGGTTTCCCATTCTTTCAATGCCCTGGCTTGGCTCTCTCCATTCTGACACTCTGCCTTTTCTTTGGATGTCCAAGTCTGTCACTTGGTGTTAATACAGTTCCTTTCTCCCAATATGAGTGAATATACAGGTTGCTATGTGGGGTGGGAAGCTCTGCTCACTCCTTTGCAGGCTGTGGAATGATGGTATTTTTAAAAAGCTGGTGGTGTTAGTAAGGAAGAGGTAGAGGTGGCTTTGCCAAATTTTTCTAGGGCTCTTGGAGTTTCTTGAACTATTGGTTTTAGCAGTGACATACTACTCTAGACTGAGCAAATTATCTCCTCTGTATGGCACTTCGGACTGTAGTCTGAAACTGAAGGGATTAGATCACAGTGCTGGTGGCATATTCCTAAAGGGTCAGTTAGCAAATATTGCAGGCCTTCAGGCCATACAGTCTCTGTTTCCACTGCCCCTCCCTGCTATGGTAGCACGAAAATATCCAGGAACCAATGACTGTGGTTCTGTTACAATAAAACTTTATTTACAAAACTTGTATTCATCCTTCAAGCTATATTTTGCTGAGCACTGTACAAGATGGTGTTTCTGATTTGATGCATTTCTGCAATTTTCTATCCATACAGCTCTGTTGGGACTTAATGATTGCTTTCACACAGCTGGACTTCATCACAATTTTACTTTTACTGTGTAAATTCTTTATTTCTCTGAGCATATTGCTGCTGTCTTCTCCCACTTACAGAGTGGACAATTAGGTGGCTGGAATGGTCTTAAATTCCCTTGTTTCTAAATAGGAGCCAGACACATCACTGAGCACATATAAGAATTATACATATCAGCCTCAATCAACATAGTGATCATGAGGAGGTGTATAATAATTATTCACTGAGTGGTATAATCATCCAAGTGGCTCATCTCATGTGTTCTCTGTCTCCCTGTACCCCAGCAATCACAGAGGTGGTGAAATGTGAACATGAGCGAGCCGTACACCTCTTTGTGGACTCCCTAGTGAATCAGGACAAGCCGAGCTTTGCCTTCCAGTGCACAGACTCCAACCGCTTCAAAAAGGGGATCTGTCTCAGTTGCCGGAAGAATCGTTGTAATAGCATTGGCTACAATGCTAAGAAAATGAGAAACAAGAGGAACAGCAAAATGTACCTAAAAACACGGGCCGGCATGCCTTTCAGAGGTAACTTGTCTGCAGGCCTGCAAGCAACCCCTTAGCTTTTTTCTTCCTTTACAACTTGTTGTAGAACAGGGTGTGCACCAGCTCAGGAGCTGTGGCCCACTCAGCTGTACCAAATTATTGCAAATTAGATCATATTGTGCATGTCCTAGTAAAGTTGGTCCTTAAAAGTTAATGGTGAGAATGCCCAGAGTGGGGGCTCACACTTTTAATCCCAGCCCTCGGGAGGCAGAGGCAGGTGGATCTTTGTGAGATCGAGGCCAGCCTGGTTCAATGTAATGTCTTCCAGGCAGGCTTAGACTAGGGACAACAACAACAAAAAAGTTAATGGTGAGGATGCCTTTGGTGATGTATTAACCCATGATCACATATTGATATCTTAAAATTCTATCTTGCATTTAATGTTTTCAAGTATTTTCATATTTCTCATTCAATTTTAACAAATGAGAAGCAGCATGAAACAGAAGACAGAAATGATAGCTTATAATTTTATAACCTGTGTATTATTTTACATATGAGGACATCGAAACTCAGAGAGGTTAATACCTTGTTCCTTAATCCAGGGTCACACACAGTAGAAAGAGGTAGGTCCTAAATCCCCAAACATCTCCTGACCCCCAAGTTTAGGGCACTTTTTCAGAGCCAGGTGAGGTGGTGCACGCCTGGAATCCCAGCACTTAGGAGGCTGAGGCCAGAGGACTGTGAATTCCAGATCAGCCTGAGAACTATGAGACCCGGTCAACAAACAAACAAAAAGAAACAAGAAAAGGAAAGAATGAAAAGATGGAGGGAGAGCGGCAGGAGGGGAAGAAAGAAAGAAGGAAGGGAGGGGAGAGGAAGCAAGGAAGTCATCAAAGTCATACATTTCAGGGCTCAAGTTCTTGCTGGGAGACAAGGCTTATATATCCACAATCACTCACAATCCTCACTGTGCCCCAGGCTGAGGAACAGCATGCTATTGGGCAGAACAAGGTTGCGGCTAATGTGGGCCAACATGATGTCCATCTCTAAAGTTCAGTGTGCTAGATGGCTTGTATGAGTTGGGGCGCCCTGAGGTGATGAGCAAGGCTCACAAATGTCTCTGTTCTGCTGTCTGTGCAGTTTACCATTATCAGATGAAAATCCACATCTTCAGTTATAAGAGCAGGGGAGAAATCCAGCCCACCTTCTATGTCACCCTGTATGGCACTAATGCCGACTCCCAGATTCTACCGTTGGAAATGTAAGTGTGAGTGTCCTTTGAAGCTTGGGTTCAGGACAGAGAACTGGTTAGTCTGAAGATGAGAGCAGAGTGAGCTATTGGAAGAGGTTCAGGAGAGTCAAGCTGGTTTGCCCAGGGGAGGAGCTGGGTGGTTCTTGTTGGCATCTGGGTCCTCTCTTTCCTCTCTTCTGTGTGCTTTCCTTCAAGTCCTTGACTCAGAGGGTTTCTGGGAGGGAAGCTCCCAAGATGAATCAGCTGCGTGAGAAACTACTGATCAGCTGCACAGAAACTGCTGTTTCATGTCAGGCAACGCCTGACACCCAAGGCCTTAGGGAATCTGGAACTTGATGAACGTCATCCCTGGATCTTCTGTAATGATAAACTGTGGGAGGGTTACATGGAAGACTGTAGAAATTTGTTGAGTTCCCACCAGAGGCAAAGCACTCTGTCAAGTGATGTTGGTGTTATGAAGAAATATCAGAGACAGGTGAGGTGCCTGGAATCCCAGTACTTAGAAGGCTGAGGCCAGAGGACTGTGAATTCCAGATCAACCTGAGAACTATGAGACCCAGTCAACAAACAAAAAGAAACAAGAAAAGGAGGGTCTGGAGAGATGGCTCGGCAGTTAAGAGCACCTACTGCTCTTGCAGAGGACCTGGGTTCGATTCCCAGCACCCACATGGCGGCTACGAACTTTCCTTAACTCCAGTTCCAGGGGAATCCGAAACTCTCTTCTGACCTCTATGGCATTGCACGACACGGGTGCACTCACTTACATGCAGGCAATACACTCATATACATAAAATAAAAATAATAAATAAAATATTTTAAAAAAGAAATAAAAGAAAAGAATGAAAAGATGGAAGGAGGGAGGCAGGAAGGGAAGAAGAAAGAAAGGAAGGGAAGAGAGGAAGCAAGGAAGCCATCAAAGTTACACTTTTCAGGGCTCATGTTCTTGCTGGGAGACAAGGCTTTTACATCCACCATCACCCACAGGAAGAGAGGATTAGACTGTGCCCCAGGCTGAGGAACAGCATGTTTGCGTGGGGATGTGACTTCTTTGTGTCTTCTTATTTCTGTTCTTCTTGATCCTGTCTCTTCGGAGTTAGTAGCTTAGGAATGTTTTTGGTTAGAAGTCAAGTGTTGTGGGCGCAACCCAGCTTCCTCCTTGGTCCTGTAAACTGGGGGACATGAAGAGCCTGAGATGGAGGCACCCAGCTGAGTGTGCCAGTTTCCCAGGTGCCATGGGAGAGAGATGAGCTTCTCTTCTACCTTGTAGTGTGGAGCCCATTGGGCTGAATGCCACCAATACTTTCCTGGTTTATACTGAAGAGGACTTGGGTGATCTCTTGAAGATCAGCCTCACCTGGGAGGGGATATCTCAGTCCTGGTACAACCTATGGAAGGAACTTCGCACCTACCTGTCTCAACCCAGCAATCCTCATCGGGAGCTGCACATCCGACGGATTCGTGTCAAGTCTGGGGAAACCCAGCGGAAGTAAGTGTTCCATGCCCCTCACCACCTTGGTGAGTTGTGGGCACAAAGTTCTCCTGCATTCATTCTTTTCCTCCATTTGCACTCATAACCCTTACATATTCAGAGTGTGCTGCCAGCTAAACCTTAAACACCTTTGAAAGGAAATTGTGACTCCCAGATCAAGGCTTCTAGTAACTAAGGTGTATCTTATGCCTGGATCATAGCCCACAGCAGGAAGGGCAGGCTGGAGTTCATCGTTTCTTCTGCATGCCAAGTCCTGTGCTGGCCCGGAGGAAGAAGCCTTCCCCTGGACAGGGCTTTCTAGGAGTGCTATCTTGTGATTTATTTATGATGGGGCAAACTGGAGCATCCTGGTCCACAGGTGAAGACTTCCACAAGACCTATACCCTTCCCAGCACCTCACTTTTAGATCACTGTGTCTTTTCTTTTGAGGCTCTGGGTCAGGAATGTGGGACTGTGATCCTAACTTCCACTAGCAGAGAGCCCTCTACTGTGCCAGCTGGCAGCCTCCAATTTCTTTGATCCCCATGAGAGTTCCAGACCTTTGTGTATCAACTCTTGTTACTGTGCCCTGACTCTACCGAAGGAGGGCTCAAAGCCAGGAAAGTCATGGAGACTTTTATCAGGAGCGAGGAGGTCCCCCCCCGCCCCCCCCCGACCTCTGTAGTGCTCACTGCCAGCCTTGGGCTGGAGGAAGCAGCCTATGCCCTCTTTGTCATTCCTCTGACATTATTTCTGTTATAATTCTCCACATGTCTTGAATTTACATCCATTATCCATGGCTCAGCTGGCAGCAGAGGGAGTGTACTGGTGCCTTGGATCTTTCCTCCAAGCAATTCTAGTCTAGAAACCTTGGCCTGGGGGATTTATGAGAGGGAAGCACTAGTACCAAGCCCGTGATCTCCATAATTGTGTCTATTTTACTCCTCTAGGCTCTTAAGTATAGTCTATGCCCACAGGTGTGGTACCAGAAAGATGATCATCATTATTATTAAATATTTCAAATATAATTAACATTCCTCAAATCGCCATTGAGACTGATCAAATGTAAGCAGTTTCCCAAATTGGGTTCAAATATAAGAATTTAAAAGTAAAAACTTTGGGCCAGAGAGATGGCTCAGTGGTTAAGAGCAGTTGCTGCTTTTATTGAGGACATGGGTTGGGTTTCCAGCACATCTTTAACTCCAGTTCTAGGGGATACAATGCCCTTTTCTGGCCTCTGTTGGCATTGCATGCACATGGTGCTGTTAAGTTCAAGCAGGCAAAACACTCATACACATAAAATAAATATGGATAAATTAAAAATAAAGTAAATAAAAGTAAAAACATTACAGGAAGCCCCTTTGCGCCCATTACATCTCCTTCTTTCAGACCAAATATAATGGAAAATTTCACATTAACTAATGGCAGTGCATTTCCTTTCTTTATGTTTTAATGCCCAGTAATACTTTGTTTATGCCCATAAAGAATATGTATAATTGTTTTAGATGCTTCTGTATTTTACATGATTGGGCATGCAGTTTTATGGGTTATTATAAAAAAAAGCAGATATTGTCTATGGAATTTGTTCAATACATGTTCTGTAATCTGTTCATGTTTAACTGTTGTGTAAGTCATCGTTGTACTAGAGTGGTTTTACCATTTTTATTCAGATTTTAAGTTTTCATTGTTTTTGTGGAATTGCAAATAGTGCTGAGGTGAGCATCCTTCACATTTTCCTCACATATGTGAGGGCTTTTTGGTGGCATGTATACTAAAATGCGGAATTGCTGGGCTGTGAATATATGCATTCTTTGATCTGGTGGGATATTTAAAAACTCTCTCCAAAGTGGTTGGACTACTTTTCAGTTTTGGCCCTAGCATTATAGTTCCCCTCCCCTGCTTCCTCTACTATCTGGTGGGATGTTCCTGCCACTCTGTTAGGTAGAAGCGGGTCTTCTGTTGTATTAATTTGCATTTCCTGATTGTGAGTGGGATAAGATATTTTTTATTAGTTTGAAAACATGTCGGTCCAACTTAGGCTCCAACTTGGGTACTTAGGCTCCCTGGGAGAGATTCAGAATATGGCTTTTTTTGTCCTGCTCAGCATCAGAATGAAGTGCCCCACACACTGTTGGTCATTGGGTGTTGTAATCATATATCATCAAGGCTGCATGGGGCAGCCACAAGCTATTGCTTACCACAAGCTGTTGTGAAATGGTTATCAGGCCCCTGATTCTTTCTAAAGCTCTTAGCTGTCTATGGGCTGAGCCTTTCTGATATTTTCTTTATAAAATATTTTATTTTTTATTTTTAATTACATGTATATGTGTGTGTCCATATGTGGGTATGTGCATATGAGTGAAGGTGCCCTTAGAGGCTAAGAGAGAGTATCAGATCATCTGGAGCTGGAGTTACAGGTGGTTGTGAGCTGCCTGATTTGGGTGCTGGGAACTGAACTTGGATTTTCTGCAAGAGTAGTAAGTGCTCTTAACTACTGAGCTATTTCTCCAGCCTAGAACCTTTGATTTTTGACTTGTGACTGGGATCCGGTTACTTTTGTCAATGAATATTATGGAGCACTGTCCTACAGGTGCATCAAGTCTGGTGGAAAAGTTCAGCATTGAACCTAAAACCCAAAAGTGGTTTCAAGCAGCATAGCCTATTGTCAGGTAAAACAAAATCTTAATTTTGAACTTCCTGTCATAAGTAACAACAATTACAAAAGCAACACTTATATAAAGATAAGCCTTTGTACTAAGTTGGGAGGTTTAGAGTGATCAGGTTTGTGGAAACTTGAGCAGGGAGGGGAGCTTCCAAGAGGTTATGGCCCCAAGAGTCAGGTAGTCTTTTGGGAAGATAGAGAAGAAAGTAGATGTGTGAGTGAGGCTGCATGAGGTCAAGTCATAAAATGAAACACAATTAGGAATCCTGTAGCAGGGATAGGCAGTTCTGAAGACTCTGGAGTGGGCGTGACAGGATGAAGGTTTCTTTTTCCCATTTCCATCTATGATGAATCTATCCAAGAGGCACTGTATAGACTCTGTAGGGTTTTGTCTGTAACCATGGTTTCTTTTTCCCTCTTAGAATGACATTTTGTGCACGAGACCCTGAGAACACTAGCATCCGCCCTGGGCAAGAGCTATGGTTTCACAAGTGTCGGGATGGCTGGAGAATGAAAAATGAAACCAGGTAACAGGACTTTCTATGTTCCACAAGCCCGTGGCTTCTCACCTAGCTGGATGTGGACCTGGGCCCAGAGTCAACAAACCAGAGAGAAAGTGCTTCCTTTCCGAAGCTGACCTGCTGGAAGGCAGTGGACAAATACATAAGTGAAATATTGCATGTCCGAGAATGTCTGTCCCTCTGTCCCTTGCCCTGCTTCACCCTCTCAGGGCTCTCTATACATGGTTGTGTCACTGAATCCCCACATTGGTGTCCATGCCCTTACCTTAGATTGGTGCCTCCTCTGTAGTGACAGGCAGGAGAAGGTCTATTTCCCAGCTTCCTTCTGGCACCAGGTTGGAGTAGGCAGGAGGGTGGGAGGGAAAGCACAGAGTACTGCCCCCTTTTTTAGGTTTTCTGGAACCTGGGTTGCTGTGAGTGTATGTTAGTGCGTCAAATTCTCTCCCTTTGAGAAATGGGAATGCTCAACTATAGAGCTGAGTGAGACAGACAGGCAGCCTTACTTCATATCCCATTGCTTGGTGCTGGACCCCATGCTTCCAGGTGGAGGAAAGCCCTTGTCATAGTGTGTGTGTGTGTGTGTGTGTGTGTGTGTGTGTGTGTCAGTGGGATCCTGGAGGAGAGCCTGTCTAATGCCCTGAGCCTAAACACCTGCTGAGGATGAGGGGACCGTCCCTCCAGTAATGTCTACCTCCTGCCCTTTGTCTTCACTACGGTACTGGATGGTAATCCTGCTGTCATCCACTGGGTGCTCAGTGTGTACCCACCTGTATCCAGTGACTTACAGAATCATTTAATTTTATCGATGACCTCAGGAGGCAGGTGTTACAGGGAGAGTGTACAGCAAGAAAATGGAGGCCTGGGAAGATGGAGTCTTTTTCCTAAGAGGCCCTAGTATGTGATGGGTCCGTTAAAATCTGCTTGTTTGAATATAGATGCTTTACCTGCTCAGAGGAATCACCCTATCTTTCTCTGGGTACCAATTATCAAGCAACCTGTGCTCAGGGATCCCTTGTGATTAACCGTCTGCCAACCTGCAGGGCCTGGCTGCATCTCCAGCTTTCTTGGCTCCAGTTTAGGAACATCAGCAGACAAAAACTCAGTGATGACAAGTGTGGGGTCTGAAGACTGCACATCTCATTAAGGGTAGCAGTCAAGTGTAGGCTCATCTGATTTCCCTCTATCATTAGTTTAATTCTTTTGGTTTGTGTTTACATTTACACCTTTCAATGTGCCCCCATATACCTTCATTTCATCAATTAGATTGTACATACTCAGGAAGTACTGCCATAAGGTATAAGATACTTCTTTTATGCTCTAGAACTTCCTAATGGTGGAGACTTCTATGACTGGGCTCACATTATTTCCTTATTTCCTTTTCTCTCTAAGGCATACAAAACAACTGGAGTCTAAGGAATAAATGCACACAGGAAGTTGTGGCATCCTTAGTCACATGTAATGCCATCAGCTTTCTCCCTGCTGACATGTGTGCTGTTCACTTACCAATAAGGAGCTTGAGATCCAGAGAGTTTCCTAGCTGAGATGAGGATTCAGGTCTCTTGACTCCACCATGTCCCCTTCCTGCCACACTTGAGTCTTTGTTTCTAGATCTAGTTTCTAGATCAAGGATTAGAGAATTCTCATCACATGTATGTGTGCATGTGTGCAAAACACATAAATACATAGACTATGACATGTGCACTTACCAGTCCAGTCTCCCATGGGTGTTTCTCAGAGAGAAACAGTGGCACTTTGGGTGGAGAGTTAAAAGAAGCCTTCAGGATCTTTCCAGAGCTCCTGAAAGTCAGTAAAATAGCCCTATAGGTGTGTCAGAAAACTTGGTCTTGAGGGTGACAGTATACACCTTGGTGCAGGTTTGCCCATTTGCTGGTGAGTGAGCTAACACTGTATTTTCATGGTTCCTTCTAGTCCCTTTGTGGAGCTGGCCTAAGGGGGCCATGGAGTCCTGTAGCCTGTGCCCAAACCCTGCTGTCTACACACATGGAGGAAAGTTACTGCTGAAGACCCACCTGATGAAAAACCCCTCTCAGCCTTGATCCTGGAGCCTTGAGAGGAGCTTGCTCACTGAGCTCACCTTTGCCCCCCATGACAACTGTGACTTGTCCCAGAAGGGACCTGTGTACTGCTGAAGCTCCAGTTCATTTAAACTCCAAACCTCTGTTGATACCTCAGGAAGCTAGTCTGGATTTGTGTGTGAGCACTGGAATAGCCAGAGCTCTTGTGTACACTGGGTAGGTCTCCCTGTTGTTAGATGAGCCCTGGATTTGCCCAATAACAGGGAACATGGGCTCTGAAGTGGTTCTGTGTGGAAGGCTGGCAGCTGCTTGGTCTCACTGAGTCTCAGTCAAAGGTCTTTCCCCTGGGAACTGACTCATATCACAATGACAGGCCTGTTACTTAAAGAGGGGGTGGTAGATCAGGCTGGTGCTGGGGTCCTGTTGTGAGAGCTCTCATGTGATGCACTGATGGGTACTGGTTCTATCTTAGACATTCCATCCTGCTCTGAAGCTCACCTTCTGAAGCACACATTGTTGGCATTCTTTTTTACATTACTCATACTTTGACGAACAAATGTTTATTGGGTACTTCACTGTTTAGCACATGGCAGTAGACATGACTTAACTTCTGCATTTTGAGCCGATGGGGTTGAGGTCCCTAGAATCCTTTCTGGTTTAGTGGTCCATGAATTTACATGTGCTAAAACAGAAGGGGCCAAAGGGTGGGCTTCAGGCTGAAATGGGTGGGGCTCCTGAGGCCTTCATGTGCATGTTCTCCAAGAGTGACATGCTTGGTTACCAGAAGAAGGTCATGTACACTGGTCCACAGTGGTTGTCAATTGCTAGCTACAATTGCTTTGGAGCAAAGTCTCTGTCTGCTCTTTAGGGAGCTAGGAGATGTTATATGTATTCTACTTACCTGCTATGCAGAAACCAGCCCCTGTGGCCAGAGCTGGCACTGGGATTTGATACAGTGCTCATTCTTACATGAAATATTTTGCTTTTATACCTTATCTGTGTTAGACTTGGAAAAGCCTCCCATTCTAGATCTCGATTTGAATGAATAAACACATCTGAGACACCCTTTTCTAGTTTTCAGACAGTTTGCATGTGTGTCACCTAATTAGAGTGAGGGGAGCAGGACAGCCATTATTAATCTTGTTTTACAAAATCAAGGCTTGGTGAGATTCAGCCATCTGCCTGGGTTATATACCAAGGTGGTAGTGGGGCCAAAACTGAGGGCCCAGGCAGGTTTGCTGGAGGAAAGTTTGTGAAATCCCCTCTGAAACTCCATGAAGATATCTACAACCATTTCCTACCAGTATGCCCCAGATGTGATAAGCAAGAGTTTTTTTCAGAGCTACTCATAAAATCCCAAACCTTTGATTAATATGTAACCAGGAGAATGTGCCAAAAGGTTGAGTTTTTTATGGGTGTGATACTGGGAGGGGTAAGAGAGTGATTACTTTGTGTATTTAGGTTTTAAAGGACATTATTTGAATCTGTACTGTGCCAAAGTTATATCACCATTTAATGCCAAACTTCTGAAGACATAAGCAGTCAAGTCTTAATTCAAAGTATGCTCTCAAGTCCTCTGTGTGTTTCTGTGATTGCTTTCTAGCCAAAGTGAAGCTTGTGTTACTGGCCATGCATCCTGGTGACTTTTGACTTCTGTTTTCAGGAAGGAAGTTTGGGGAACCGAATCCTTACAGGTTGTGTATTTATCCATATGGCTTGAAGCCCTGTTTATATATAATGAAGCTTTTTTAAAATGCTTAGAGCACTATTTATTTCCTAAGTGTATATCATGTATAAAGACAAATGTATGGTTAGTTTTTACTTTAAAATTAACCAACTTCAAGATTTTAAAAAGTTTAATAGTAAAATAATAAAAAAGAAGAACAATACAATTCTTAATGGTAACTCACTTCTTTTTCTGTTTGTTTTTTTGAGACAAGTGTTTCCAGGCAGCTTCTAATTTGCTAATTAGACCAGGCTAGAATCAACTTACCTCTGCTGAGATTAAAGGCATGTACCACCATGCCTGGCTAACTCCTTTTTTTTGGGGGGGGGTCTGTTTGAGATAGCATCTCCCTGTAGCCACAGCTGGGCTAGATTCGTATGGAGACCAGGCTGGCCTCGAACTCACAGAGATCTGCTTGCCTCTGCCTCCTGAGTGTGCCACCACACCTGGGTGCTAACTCACTTCTTAAAACTGGAAATGATTGGGGGCTGGAGAGATGACTCAGTGGTTAAGAGTGCTGGTTGTTTTTTGTAGAAGACCTGGGTTCAAATCTCAGCACCCACATGGTGGCTAACAACCATCCATAACTCCAGTTCCAGGGGATCTGACACCCTCTTCAGTCCTCCGAAGGTACTGAAACACGGGTGCACTTAAATGCAGGCAATACAGTCACATAAAAAATAAATAAATACATAAATAAAAATTTTAGAAAAAAACCTGGAAATGATTATGGCTGCCCAAGCCTTAGACTTGACAAAAATTATTTTAATGTAAAATATGTTCTCTATTTGATAGTCACTGTTAGCAGGAAGTAGACAACTATTTCCAATAATGAACAAGAAGAAAGTTTATCTGAATTGCAGCAGGAAAGCCTGAAGTTGAACGTTTGGAAGAATTGGGAGGGTGACTGGACATCAGGGGATATTAGTGAACATATCTGTTTGGTTGTATGGGACCAGATAGCAATGACTTAAACAGAGTGGAGGCTGATTTCTCTATTGGAATAAAGTCTCTGCTGATACTGAGGTTCTGTTCTATAGAGGAGACCAGAGCCATCCATAGGATAATCTGTTCATCTTCACAGCTCATGGTGTCTCTCATGGTCATCTTCCAGTCAGTGAGAAAGAGGGAAAGAAAGAAAGGGGGGTGGGCAATCCCTCTGTAGGGGTGCTGACTGATAAGTTGTCAAAAGTCAATCACATGCCACATGAGAGTCTGGGGAGCTCTGCCTCTATTCAAGACTCCCGTGGACTCAGCTAAGAGGGATATAAAAAGGAAAATTGGAGAGAATAGACCAAGGTACTGTTTAAATGATTCAATCTTGTCAATTTTTAGTATTTATCTATTTATTTATTCATTTTTTTCTCTTTTTTTTTTTTGAGAGACAGGGTCTCATTATGTAGCCCTGCAACTTGCTAAATAGACTAGATTAACCTCGAATTCACAGAGATCCACCTGCCTCTGCCTCCTGAGTGCTGGGATTAAAGGTGTGTACCACCACTCCTGAAACAATTTTTCAGTTATCTTAAATTGATCTGTAACTATAAGGTTAGGTAGATTACGTTCATTTGACTTTATTTCTAGTCTTAAGTATTAAAACATTTCACTTTATTTTTAATATTAACAAGCCAGTGATTAATTATAAATGACATCCTACATGCAAGCAATACATGTTGTATTAGTGCCAACGTTGAGGGAAATGGTGAGCCCGATATACCTTTCATTGGTTTTTCATTGCTGTGCCTATAATTGTTTTTTGTTTGTTTTGAGACAGGGTCTTGCTCTATAGCCCAAGCTGAGCTGGAACTCACTTTGTAACACAGGCTGGCTTTGAACTAGAGATCCTCCTGCCTCAGCATCCTTAAGTGCTGGGATTATAGGCATACAGCATCATAGTTGGCAGTAGAACGTAATTGATATCAAATTCTGGTTCTGTGCAATCCAGGTTTAGAGTAGGTAGTAGTTTTCAGTACCAAGCTTGTACAGTAAAAGCAGCCTTGACCACCCTGTAGCTCCCAGTCAATATCCCATGTTTTCTTCCTTGAGGAAACTGCAAGGGACTTGAGTGGCACCTAAAGAGATTCTTGATAGCTTTGCTTGCATCTCCCAGTGGCATGGTGTAGCATGTATGCTTAGTAACTCTTCATGTTAGACCCCTGTGTCTTCTACAGCAGCAGCACCCATACATGTCAAGGCACTTAGTCTTTCAAATTCTGGGGCAGCATCATCTGAAAGTCCATAGCCCCAAACTAGATCCAGGCTCTTCTTTGAACTATATGTTCATGGTCTCCCAGCACTATCACAGCAGCGCCTTTTCCCTTTACAAAACTATCTTTCTTTGGAAAAGCTGGTCAACATGCCAGTTTGGATCTGCACATGATCAGAGCAAGGCTGGAATCCTACAGGAGATGAAGGATTAATGCCAAATTCTGTACCTCCAGTCACCACCATATCAGCATCATCTCAGGTTATAAATCTAAGAGTTACCCACAGCCTGAGCTCCTGTAGTATAGGCTGTACATGCTGCAGGATTGGGGTCCTTGAGTTTATACTGAATGCTGATCTGACGCACCGCTATATTGATCAGAATCTTAGGTTCAAAGAATGGGTTGTGTTTATTGTAACCTTTGGCCTGAAACATCAAAGCAGTTTCAGAAACAGCTTTGGGAGGAACAGGTCCCATATCAATTATAGCACTAGCAGCCTTTGGATCAGGCTGAATCTCTCAACTGGGATAGTTCATGGCTAACTATAATAGTGATTATGGTGAGAGAAGTCATGGACTTGTGTCTGATCTGGACACAAAGCTTTGTTCATTGAAATGACCATTAGCCCCTCTTGGTACATAAGCATCAACACTAACAGTATTTTGAGACACTCTCTTAGCCCCTTCTCCAAGCAATGAAATAATGCCACTTACTCCTTGCAGTAGAAAATGCCATACCAGTTGAGTTCCAACACCAGAACGAATCACCTACCTAATGTCTGTAATGACAACTTGTCTGTTGGCACAATTCCAGAAAACCTCCTTTTTTTAAAAAAAAAATTTTTTTTTATTAATTATTTTTATTTTTTATTATTTGTCTTTTTGAGACAGGGTCTCCCTGTAATCCTAGCTGTCCTGAAATTCACTATGTAGACCAGGCTGGCCTTGAACTCACAGAGATCTGCCTGCCTCTGCCTCCCGAGTGCTGGGATGAAAGGCGTGTGCCACCATGCCCGGAGAAAACCTCCTTTTAAAAAAAAAAAAAAAATTATTTATTACTTTCAATTTTGTGAGTATGAGTGTATTGCCTTCATGTGTGTATGTGTGCCCCTATCAGAACAGGATGTTGGATCCCCTGGAATTGGAGTTAGAGATGATTGTGAGCTGCCAGTGGGTGCTGGAAATCAAACCCAGGTTCTGTGCAAGAGCACCGAGTGCTCTTAACTGCTGAGCCATCTCTCTACCCTCCAGAAACTCTCCTTTTATTTCTTATTAATCACCGTCATAATCTTGAATGTCAAAGATGAGTGCTTTTAATTTTTAGGAAAGTTGACAATGTGGCATGATTCATATTTACCCTTGTAAGATTGTCAGGGCTGAGAAACCCTTAAAACATCTTAAAATGAGCAAAGCTCCCCAAGGGACTTTAATAGACAACTATTCTCCATCCCCATCAAGGACATTCTCACCCAAGCTTATTATTTCAGTCAGGGTTTGGATTAGAAAGACATGGTTATGCTATAACTTGGTTCAGGGTTCAGGGGTCAATACAGGCATCACATTTCAGAGAAAAGGGCACACATGGTGTTTCTGACAGAGCAGAGGAAAATTTTGAAATTGCTCACAGGAGGAGGCACAGGCTGGGTGGCTCCAGAGTGTCCTGTTTGACTTGGTTGTTTAGAACTACCTCACCAATTAGTCAGGGGAACCTCCACAGGTCTTCCTGGGGTTTTTCAAACATAGAGCCTAGGACAGTATCTGGAACAAAGCAGGTGTCATATGGCTACTTACTATGAGATGAAATTGGGGACAAGAAACCAGCTGCTTAAACTGGCATTAAGGGAGTTGGGGAAAGAACAGAGTATTGAGTCAAGAGTCCTGGCATGCTATTCATAATTATGTGAGAGTTAGTTTAACTATAACTTGGTGTGGTAGTGCATGCCTTAAGACCCAGCACTCAGGAGGCAGAGGCAGAAGAATCTCTGTGAGATCAAGGCCAGCCTGGCCTACACAGTAAGTTCCAGGCCAGCTGGGACTACAAAAATATCCTGTTTCAGAAAAGAAAAAAAAAAAAAAAAAACCTTTAAAATCTCTGCTTCTTCTAAGAAAGAGAGACACAAAAGACTGAGGCAAGATTGTGAGTTCAAAGCCAGCCTGGGCTATAGAGAGAGATCTTATCTTATTCAACCCAATGCAATCCAACCCCAAACCCAACCCAAGAAAACCACCAAACCAAACCAAACCAAACCCAAAGAATACCACCACAGACTGTTGTGAATATTAAGTATATATGGCAAAATATATTATTAGTGCTTTATAAACATTTGAATTGTAAAAAGACAATGAAGTAAAGACAAAATAAAAATAAGCATCTTAGGCTAGGCATGGTGGCATATGCCTTTAATCTCAGCACTCGGGAGGCAGAGGCAGGCTGCCTCTAAGTTCAAGGCCAGCCTGGTCTACGTAGTGAGTTCCAGGTCAGCTGGAGCTACAGGGAGACCCTGTCTAAAATAAACAAAAAATATCTTGGAGTATGTGTAGACATTTTATTTATGATAAGGAGGTTTATTATCATTGGAAGAAATGGGTAGTTACCTAGATGATGGTGAGAAAGGAGTCTCATTAAATAAGGAGGAACATAAAATTAAATTCTAGTCTTATATCATAGACATAGATGAATTCCACATCAATAGGAAGAGTAAATGTGAAGGAAGCTTAAATTTTATTAAAAACTGAAAGATTAGGAAATATCACAGTTAGTATAATAAGAAATAGAAAAATCTGAGGGCTGGGGATGTGGTTCAAGGGTAGAGCACTTGCCTAACATATATGAGACCTTGCATTTGATACCCAACACTTAAAAAAAAAAAGAAAAAGAAGAGAGCAACAAATATTAAAATGGAAA